CATTCATCACAGGTAGCATCTCTAATTACACACTGTAGGAAGGGAACTGAAATAAGCTAAGGTCATTCTGAGAAAAAGGTGCATGGGGGAAGTGGTCCCATATGGAGGAATCTGCTAACTAACCAACTAATGATATCTCTACCCACCAGCCACACCAATACCAGCCTTTCTAGGATGACCCACACATCTACCTAGCCCAGGGTCTTTGTAGCGTCTGTACAATGCTCTACTGCTACTACCCTTCAAGATCTCAACCTCAGCTCTAGCTGTACTTCTCTTTTATAGGCCACAGGATCCTGAGAGAGAGGGTGAGATTCTCATGGAGTTCTCACAGCACTGCCCACCTTTTCTTTCACAGAGTTCTTTACAGTGGTAATATTGCTTGTGTAGCATTTAATTTGTAACTCTTCCCCCAGTAATGTATAAAAAAGTTCTAAATATAATTTAAACACACACAATAGGCTAGAACATATTAGAGTGTTTCATCACTGACATTTCAAATGGAGGACTCACCCAGACACTTTTACATAAAATATCACATTTACTGAATTTTAGTCAGTGTCAAGAATCTGGTTAAATATTGGATCGCTGCCACAAGTTAGGCTCTCAAACACATTTTACGGAGAGGCACCTTGCCGCTCACAGAGATGAAGCATCAGGTTGACTTGTACCAAAAACTTGAAAAATATTATCAGTTGGATTTGTTCTCTGTTGTTACAAATAAAAATGCTTACAAAATTAACACATGAATCTAGGCATCTTTCACTCATCTCAAACTGTTCTATTAAAAATAAAGAATGAAATTACAGGACTGATTACAAAAATAAGGACAGAAATAGGTATGGGGTGAGGGAGAAAGAGACACAAAAAGGAGAGAAGAAAGATTTCATATGTTATACTTGAGGGAGCAAAGAAAAAAGTAACATTCTCCAAATCCATTAGGAGAAAGAGAGACAGACCAGAAAAAATATAGTGAGTGAAAGAAATGAATAGAATCTCATTTGCTCTCTGGGGGGCCAATTTTCCCTGTCTCCTTTCACCACCCTTCCAACCCCAAAACTTTCTGAAATTCAAAGATACATTTTGTTCCTATGATAGCATTATTTAAAAAAAAAAGTATTGTGGGCCCAAAGGACTGGTGCACATACTTTGCCTGGGGGAGGTCCAGGTTTGGTCATATCTCAGCACTGTCAGCAATGAGGCCAAGTAAAGTGCCAAGAGTAGCCCCTGAGCACTGCCCCGCCCTCACAAAAGGGACTTGTGGGGGAGATTTTCTGTGCATGGCAGAAATTACATGGGAAATCTCTGCACCTCCTAATTTTGCTATAAACCTAAACTTACTCTAAAAAATACTTTGGGGCAAAAAAAAAAAGGTACTTAAAGAAGAAGTTGGGTAAGAGACATTTAACTGTAGTAATCCCTTAACTGCTTAGCTAGTAACACACAGACTAACTGTACCAGAAAAGTATGTATAAAACAAAGGTATCTCTCTGGATCAGGTAAAACATTCCATATCACATACACAGCTATACTGAGAAGCATCTTTACTACCTAGTATTGAGTACAACTTGGAGAAACTGCTGATGTTAAATCTCACTGAATATATGACTTGCAGTAATCAATAGTGTTCTATTCTAATAATGTCTGGAACAGTGAGCTGAATGGACAGTTTCATTAACCATAACATCAGATCATCTATGTACATTTAATGAATTCACCATTTGAGCAGAAAAAGTTTCTCCAAGGTGGGTAATGAACAAAAATGAAGAGCATCAATAATACTCTGAATATGGGCAGTGAGAGCCATCTGCAACAAAGGCACTAACAGGAACCAACAGGGCATTTTATTATTTTATCACTTTTCTCTCCATTAAAAGAAAAGTAGTTTGAGAAAAGCTATCCTGAAAAGCAAAGGAAGAAAATAACAGAGAAAAGAAGAGACCAAAGACAGTGCAAACTCTTGCTGGGAATTCCCATACTTCATGCTACACTGGGGTACTTTTTCATCTATATGTAGTTTTCAAAACATGCAGATGTTATGCATGTTAAAATTTTTTCACCAACATATACAGCACAGCGGGTAGGGCGTTTGCCTTACAAGCGGCCAACATGGCCGACCCGAGTTCGATTCCTCCGCCCCTCTCGGAGAGCCCGGCAAGCTACTGAGAGTATTCGATATGCCAGACACAGTAACAACAAAGTCTCCAATGGAGACGTTACTGGGCCCGCTCGAGCAAATCGATGATCAACGGGAGGGCCTTTACTTTACTTTATTTTTCTTACACACACACCCAAAATGATCCTAGTTTTATTTCTACTGCAACTTTTTTTAATGACTCACTTAAGATGTAAACTAAATGGTCTAAAGAATTATGTAAAAACTTTTTCCTGTTCATATGTACATATCTGAAACCTGTTTTTCTCACATAAAGATATTAGAAAAATATAGCATAACCAATTCTCATTTCTTGATTATATTTATGTAAAGTGGAAAATGAAAGAAGAAAACAGAACATAAAGTTATAAGATGACAAGTGGGTTTAATGAACAATTTTTTTTTCAGATTTATCGAAAAATATTTACTGGGCACCTATAATGTGCCAAGCACTCTGAGTTCGCTCAGGATTTGGGATATTTGAAAATTCAGAAAGTTCATTATTTGGGGGCAGGGGTGTTGGGGGAGGGTTCAGGCCACACCCAGCCAAGGATTACTCCTGGCTCTGCTCTCAGGAATTACTACTGGTGGTGCTCGAGGGACCATATGGAGTGCTGGGGATTGAATCTGGGTTGGCCACATGCAAGGTGAGTACCTTATTATGTATTATCTCTGTATTATCTCACCGGAAATTCATTATTTTGAAATTGACTTAAATTTAGGTTTTATGCAGCGAAGAATATAGGCTTGAATATCAAACACATTCCAGAGTTCCAGTCAGTATTTGCTAGCAAATCAGCCAACTTAAACATGTTAATTATGTCAAGTATTCTCATATTCATCTATTGGTAACAGAGCCACTTAGTGGCACTTAGTCCTGACCCAGTAATTTTATTTAAAAAATCAGGCATAACCATTCAGAAAACATTTTTAAAATACAGCATCCTAATTAGGGTCACTGGCTTTGTTTCAGATACTTATACTGAGACCCCCCACATAAGTAGTTCAACTCTTTTATAGATGGTTTCTGTTTTATATTTTTGGTTTGAAGTCACACTGGGTGGGACTCTGTGGCCATTCCTGACTTAGTGTTGGTGGGCCACTCCTAGAAGTACTTGGGGCACCATGAGATGCCGGGAATCCAACCCAGAGCTACTGTAAGCAAAAAAAATGTGCTCTATTCTTTGAGCTATCTCTCTAGCTCTATAGTTGGTTTAAGTGATTATTCCCCATTAGAATCCCTGAACTCCCTTATTTCCTAAGAGTATTTCACAACCTGGTCTTACAAGACTATCTTATCAAGTGACAAAATACTTAATAGTCATACAAAGGTTAGGATTTATAAAAGATGTCTTAACTAAAGGATCCCACAGATACAGTGACCCAAGAACAAATAACACAAAAAAAGATACATAAAACACTTAAGAAATAAAAGAAGCCAACCTCCCACAACTCAATTGTATTATACTAGTGATATTTTCTTCCTTTCCCTAGAAATACAGCTAGGATTTGTGGCTGAGAACAGGGGACAATAAAAGATAGTAATCCCCAAGGGCCAACTAGTAAAAGTTTGCATTTCTTTTGAAAGAAAATGTTTGCAAGTTGACAAGATTCTCATGGTCTGCTAAGATGTGGAACTAAGCACCAAAAAAAGTCACTGTAAATACTAATGTTTAGGTAAAGAGTCTCAAAGGAGGAAAAAATGGAGAGGGGGTGGGTGATTGTACTAGAGAAAGAAGTCCTCAGACACACAGGGCTGCATCACATTAAATTGTGTTCACAACACAACTCCACAATCTGGATTTACATAATGGGGCACAAGCTAACAGGCACTTCTTATATTCACTGCAGAAATGATCATTGTCCAGGTGTACCTCAGTGTGAAAGTCAGTTGCAATTCTGGATTTAAAAATCAGTACAGGGGTCAGAGAGATAGTTTAGGGGTTGCTTGCAGCCAACCATTTCCCAGCACCAAATGGTCCCCTGAGCATTGCTGGGAGCATCCCTGAAGGTCCTGAGCACCAGCAGATCTGGTCAGATAGGCCCAGGTAGACACTGGCACTGCAGGACTTGAGCAGCACCACATCCTCAGGCTTGCACTGAATTGTTGGCCTGAGTGGCCAAGAATTGCCAATACTATCTTTTGTGTTTCCAAAAAAAAAGCAAAAATAAAATAAACTTTTCTTCTATTTTCTTAATACTCAAACATGACCTTCCCTCAGAAAAGCCATGTAAATAATAGGAAAAAATCATAAGCAAATAAAGGAGGAGATACAACAAAGATTTTGAAGCAAGCACGTATTAATTCAGTGCCACTGAAAAATAATTCTATAATAATAAAGGTTATGGTTTAGTAAAATTTTAAAAAACATAAAATACATCGGGCAGATATTGGTTTCAATAGTTCATAAATAATAAGGAAAATAAATCTTAGGGGGTTATTTGCTCTAAGCCACAAAGAGCACTGATGCCTACTTTTTTAAATTTCTAACTTCTGGTCTCTCATTACAACTTACAATAACCTAGGAAAGATTAGAGAAAGTTTGATAGTATCATATGACTAATGATAGGAATAATAAAAGCACCACAATGATTTTTATCTAGGCTTTAAATTGTATACACTCTAGGTCTAACAAGTAAGAGTCCTGTTTAAAACTGTCTACAATGTATAGAATGTGAAACAGAAAAATCTAACATCATCATTTAGGCTATTAAATACTGTCCATCAGTTATAAGCTCCTCTAAAAATCTGTCTGTTTCATGAAATTCAGACAGCAACAACCACCAAAGATGGTAAATAGAGAGCAGCACTGGGTTGCCTCATTTCTGTCATTGTCATTCTTACCTTGATGGATACTTCAGTGCGTAAGCAGCAGCCAAGAACCCACCTAGGTTGTGTCCAAGTAAGATCAGTTTGTCCAATCCTAGGGCACATCTCCATTCTTCAATGGATTCTACAAATTGGTTCTCTACTTCTTCAGCGTCACTGTCAAACCTGGGTCTACTACTTCGTCCAAAGCCCAAAAGGTCAAAAGCATAGACAGGTCTATTGGTGCAAAGATCTTCAAAATTCAGTGCCCATAATCCGAGACCTCCTCCAAAACCATGGAGAAGGACAAGAGGAGTCTTATTTGAAACATTATGAGAGAACTTCAGTGTCCATATTTTATTTCCATTAGATATACAAACAGGTTCTTTTTTGTATATGCAGGGAACACCTAATAAAAACATAAAAGAAAATTTGCTTAGCTTCACTACATAAAAAGAAGTATACCCAAAGATACCTGAGAATAATCTCACATACAAGTAAGTAAATTTCAGTGCTTCTTAGCAACTTAAGTTTCTACACCACTACAGATATAGAATTAAAAAATCCTAAAATACTAGTACCAAAGGGAATTCTAGGGGTCATCTGACCACCTCATTCTATAGGTTAAAAATAAGTAAATAAAACAGAATATGTAGAAAAGTAACTTGTCCAAGATTCTGTAATGACCTAAGTGAAAAATCTGAGTTCACATCAGGTTACCTGGTTCTGGTATAGTACTTGTTCCGCTATCTAAGACTGCCTGTTTGGGAATGAAAGCCTGTTCTCAAGACATGGTCTAGAGATATCTGCAGAGTTCCTAAAACCATTTTAGGTAGTCCATAAAACCAAAAATATTTTCATAATAATTCTAAGACTTGGGAACAGAGATAGAGTCAGGTGGGTAAGGCACTTGCCTTGCATGTGTCTGATCTGAGTTTGATCCCTGGCACCACAAGATCATCTCCTGAGCACTGCCGGGGGTGAGCCCTGAGCACACCAGGATTAAGCCTTGAATACTGCAGAGTGTGACCCCCCCAAACCAAATACTAATATTTTAAATGAAATACTTTATTTAAAATATTTTTACTATCCTTTTCACTACCCTTTTCACTGTCATTTGCTGATGGATATACAATGGAGTTTTTCAGAAACCACAACGTATGTGATCACCAATCATGTGAACAGAGAAGCAGATATAAGAATCCTATATGAGACTACTAAGCCAGGCAGTGAAAACATTTACAAACATACTAAAAAAGATCCTCCACTTCTTTCCACATTTTTGCTTGGAAAGCAGTTAATTTTAGAAAACTTGTCATTAACTGAAATCCATTGTAGAATTATTTCTATTATTTAAAATTAATATATCTTAAATGACGAGTTTACATTTCTATTATGGTAAACGTTGACAGTGGAAACATTTGAACAAATTTCTTAGTTTCCTTACTAATTCTAAGAGTATAAAAAGAACCCATGACCAAAAGTTTGAGAACTCCTGCCCCACATAGTTGTACACTTGCTGATGACAAGGAAAAGAAAAAAAAAAAAGATTGTGCTAACAAATAATACACCGCGGAACTCATCTCCAATTTCTAAGAAAATCTTAGTAAAATTAGCTTACAAGAAGACAGCCTTACATTTTAAAATTTTCTCCTCGGCTTCTTTAAGATGTGATGTAGATGTAGGGCACCATGTGGGAAGCCAACCAGTTAGCCATCCTGACCTAGAGTGTCAAACATAAAATATAAACAGTTAACAGGTCTTACTCAATTTCCAACTATTGTATTTGAAAAAGAAAAATGGACAAGGAAAATTTCTGTGTGTTAGTGAAGTCGTCTATATGTAATAAAATTCACCGAACTGGACAAGGCATTGTGTTACAATTCTAGAGCGATAGCAGAGTGGGGAGGGTGTTTGCCTTGCACACGGCCTACCTGGCCAACTTAGGTTCGATTCCTCTGCCTGTCTCGGAGACCCTGGCAAGCTACCGAGAGTATCTCACCTGCACGGCAAAGCCTGGCAAGTTACCTATGACGTATTCAATACGCCAAACACAGTAACAACAAGTCTCACATTGAAGATGTTACTGGGCCCGCTTGAGCAAACCGACGAACAACGGGAAGCAGTGCTACTAGTATACACAAATGTCTTTAGACTGTGACTTACAACTAGATAATCTAAGTCCATCTTACCTTCATGGCTGGCAAGATTCAAATAATAAAGACTTAATTTGTACAGAACAAACAAGCAAAAAAAATGCATCCTCATCAATCAGTGCAAAGACAAGTCTTTTATCTTAGCACAGAAGAATAAAATACCAATAAAAGGTAAAGATCACAAGTTCCCATATTCAACTGCATAATCATTATACCCTGTTTACTCAGTAAACTGTTTAAGAAGTTTTAAAAAGTTTCATGAAATGGTAACAAGCAATTTCTTTGCAAAAAAAAATCTGTAGCAATTATGCAATGAAATACTGTATGTTCATTTTTAAGAGCGATAGCACAGCGGGTAGGGCTTTCGCCTTACAAGCGGCCAACATGGCCGACCCGAGTTCGATTTCTCCGCCCCTCTCGGAGAGCCCGGCAAGCTACCGAGAGTATTCGATATGCCAGACACAGTAACAACAAAGTCTCCAATGGAGACGTTACTGGGCCCGCTCGAGCAAATCGACGATCAACGGGAGGGCCTTTACCTTTACCTTACCTGCTCTGAGGACTGAGAGAAGAAAATCTTATTAAAATGTCATCTTTTTTTTTTCCAAAGGGTCAAATCTTTTGGTAAGAATAGTGAACAGACCCCAATGGTAAAGCTTTGAATTCCAGTCAAGAGTAAAAATAAAGAATGAGTCAAACATCCAGCAGAACATAGCTGAACAAAGAACAAGGAAGCAGGCTCGAAGAAACAGGTGAGAAAGTGGGGTGAGGCCACTATTGGTATTTTGCCAACCAAGGAGAAAGTGAGCCTTCATTGCAAACCCAGAATTATCACAATCATCGAAGATCAGGATGAGGGTCAGCAGACACTTGACAGCACAAAAACCGTATTATTTCAAGAGAGACTTTGATGAAAAAGACATGAATTAGACAGAGGTAAAAAAGAGATTAACTATTGAAGGATAAGAAAAGAGGCTTTGACCTGAGCCAATGTTTGGAAACAGAGACGGAGACAAGGAGGCAAGGCAAAAACATATTTTTAAATAAAATAGGCTTAAGATACAACCTAGAAGATGATAAATTTCTGGAGATTTAATGCACAGAGGGGTTCAGCAGGGTGATACCATTTCACCGAAACTCTTCAGTGCCACCCTCGAGAACATCATGCAACGACTGGAATGGGAAGGAATGGGAGTGAAGATAAATGGTCGGCAACTACACCACCTCCGCTTTGCTGATGACATTTAGTAACACCAAACATTAGCCAAGCAGCACAAATGCTGGCCGATTTTGACCATGAGTGTGGAAAGGTCGGACTACAGCTGAATTTTACGAAGACAATGTTTATGAGAAACAGCCTCGTTCCTGACACCCCATTGCTCTCAACGAAATGACCATCTCTGAATGCAACAGCTATGTGTACCTAGGTCCAGAAGTCAACATGACAAATGACCTGGCACCCGAGCTGCGCAGGAGGAAGAGAGCGGCTTGGAACGCCTTCAAGAGCGTCAAAGAAATAGCTAACAGAGCGAAGAACCTCAGGCTCCAGGGCACATCTCTTTGATTCCATTGTTCTTCCTGCATTAACATATGCCTCAGAGACCTGGGCCCTATGCAAACAGGATGAGAACGCTATTCACTATTCAGGTCTCCCAAAGAGGAATTGAAAGAGCTATGCTTGGAATATCACGTTTCACTCAAATGAGAGAGAGAATCCGGAGTTCAGACCTTCGTAGAATATCAAGACTCAGGGAGGCTGTCTCGTTTGCCAAGGTGTCAAAAATCAGATGGGCTGGTCACGTAATGAGATTTAGAAACGACTGCTGGACTAGAGCTGTTACCAGCTGGATTCCACGGGACGTCAAAATACCGCTTGGCCGCCCACCTACCAGATGGTCAGACTTCTTCATCAAGATCATGAACGATCGGTTTGAGGCTCTTTGTGTTTCTAGAGCGAACAGACACCACTGGGCTACACTAGCACGCAACAGGGACAAATGGAGATGTTACTGGCGCCTGCTCGAGCAAATCGCCCATTAACGGGAAGTCAAGTGATCAATGCACAGCATAACAAATATGATCAGTAAGACTATATTGAGGGATATAGTTCAAGCAGCAGATGTGTGAAGGTCTCAGTTTGATCCCTGGCACCTCAAGACACTTGAGCACCCCCAGATGTGGCTCTGGTGTGCCTCCTCAGCAGTGAGGCTGGACCTTCTGATCAGTGCTCACTGCTAGACCCAAGCATCAAAAGCAGTGGCACCTATTTTTAAAATTCCTGTATTACACATTTCAAAAATGTAGACTAGAGCTTAAATGTTCTCACCATGAAAAAAAAATGATCTAGGTGCTAGCCAAAGCCAAAGTGATAATCACATTTTAATAACAAATTGAGAAGTTGATTCTGAGCTTGAGCTTCATCGGTGAACAGGATTATTCAAACAGAAGAATGGTGGTGCACGCAGGAAAGAGTACGAGTACCAGGAATGCACAAAGAATATTCTGAGATAGTAAGCACATTGATTCCAGTGGTCACTTGAACAAAATGCCACAAAACTGATTGCGTAAAACAAAAGAAATTTACCCTATTGTAATTCTAAAGATCAGATGTCTTGAAATCCGCATTACTGAGCTGAAATCAAGGTGTCAGTAGGACCATACTACCAAAATCCAGTGGTTGTCTATTCTAGGTGCAGATGGCTGCTGATATCCCTTACTCTGTGGCAGCATGGAACCTGGAATTATGAAAGATTGCCCTTTTCTCTTCTGAGTGTAAGTCCTCACTGCTTTTCACTTAAGACATTAGTGATTGCATTTAGGGTCCACCCAGGATCATTTCACAATTGTTTTGAATTTTTTCTAATTATTAAAGTAACATTTGTTTCAAACATTATATAGGCTTCAGGAGCACAGTATTATAATTTGACTGCCACGAAGAAGGCAGATTCTAGTACCATCCACTACCAGCATAAACTGATTCTCTCTACCTTTTTTTGTCTCCCCTTCACCCACTTTGGGCCTCTGGTTATTCTAATCATAGAGTTTACTTTTTTGTTTTGTTTGGTTTGGTTATTCTTTTTATCATCCCCATATGAGTTAAATAATACATATTTTCCACTTAGCCTATCACTAAGCTTTTCACTTAGCATATCACCTTCTAGGTCCATCATGTTGTTACCAATGGAAACTTTTATGTTTTTTATAGCTGAACAATATAATATTGTATATGCAAATATGTATATATACTCATATATATTCCCCATATGGTCTTTATCCATCCCTCATCAATGGGCATAATGGTTATTTCTATATCTTGGTTACTGAAAATAATAATCACTGGAGTGCACACATCACTTCAAAATAGTGCTTTAATATTCTCTGAGTAAATATCCAGAAATGTTCTCACCAACACATCTAAATTTCTTTTCTTTTTTATAAAAGCCATTTTCACAAGTTTGAGATATTTCATTGTGGTTTTGATTTACATTTTCTTAATAAGTGATGGGCTGGAGCAATAGCACAGCAGGTCCGGCATTTGTCTTGCACACAGCCAACCCGACCGGACCAGGTTTGATCCCTCCGCTCTTCTTGGAAAGCCCAGCAAGCTATGGAGAGTATCTCTCCCGCACAAAGTATCTCTCCAGTAAAGCCTGGCAAGTTATCTGTGACATATTCGATATGCCAACCACAGTAACAACAAGTCTCACAATGGAGACGTTACTGGGCCTGCTCGAGCAAATCGATGAACAGTGGGAGGACAGTGACAGTGCTAACAAGTGATAAAGAACATTATTTTTGTATGCCTGTTGATCATATGTACATATCGCTTCTTTGAAAAAAGTCTATTCAGAACTTCTGCCCATTTTTTTCTTATTTTATTGGGGGACGGGGGAGACAGGGATCCCAAACAGTGCTCTGGGGGCACTTTTGAAAATGTTCAGACTAGCTATGCATCAGCAATGCGATTCTGCTTGGGTCCAGCAGGGCAGGGCTAGTGGGGCACACTCAGAGGATTTCACAGTACTAGAGATTGAACTTCAAGTCTCCACAGAGTAAGCATGTGTGCCAGCCCTTTGAGCTGTCTTCCAGGCACTAAGCCATTTATTAATTGAGTTGTTTGTGTGCTATTGTGTGTACCTTTGGTGACCATTATTCTTTGGGGTTAACATTACAAAATGTAAAACAAGAAATTCCTAGGTAAAATGTGTGGATAAACTGGAAGTGGCCCCCAAGCTCTCCAAGCACCTCTTAGGAATCTCTCAGCCCCTCACCCCACACTGCTCCTTCTCATCAAATGCAGAAACATTCAATACACAGTGGTTGATAACAATTGATGATAATAAGTGATTCAATAACAATTATGTGACATTAAAACAAGAGCTTTAAATTAAGGTTCAGAAGGAATTCAAAGATCGAAATTAACAAGAATTATAATTTTGTATCACTCCTTGTCTCAAAGGTAAGGCTACTACTAGCTCTCTAGTTATGTATTTCCCGCCCCTTTACTTCCTGATCCTAAGTATATTTGGAACATAGTCCTCTTCTTTTCATGCTTCATTATAACTCT